AACAAGTGCTAGGATCATGGTTCTTGCCAATACGCTTCTCATGGCAGACCTTTGATCCTGACTGCTCGCGCGGTTTGGTCCTGGACATAAGCATGCAGTATGACGTCTTCTTGGGTGGTAGATTTCTTGGTACAGGGCAGACATGGGGCTTCTGCGTTCTTCTCCAAGCTTCCCCTACCTTCAGGGCCCAGGATTTTAATGGGTCTTACTTGGAAGGGTTATAGGTGGTGGCCACAGCGCAGGTCCCTTCTCGGTAAGAGTAGCAGACACTTTGCGCATGCAAGCCCGACAGATTTCATGCAGTCGCAGCACAATTTTAGCAGAGGTTTCGCATTCAGTGCTGATAGGATGCCTGCCAGCCCTGTTACTTCAGCGCATGTTACTGTTCTGCGCTGCATCGCAGGCTGGAAGGAAAACGCGTTCCTCACGCTTTGCTTACAAAATGCTGTTCATCCCCAACAGTGGGACGTTCCAATCACAACCTCCGTGACATCAACTCCCTAGAATACACCTGTGTGTATGGGGCATGTTCGAAAGCGTGAGGTTGATATGGTGATTTGTTGCTCCTGATTTTTTATGTTCAAGAGCCTCCCAAATTGGGCAAGCAATGCCAGCTATTGTTGAAGACTGCTCAAGACTGAGGTGGCATAAGGGCTAGATGTTTAAACCTCAAGCCCTGAATCACGAACCTTCAGATTCTAAGCAGTCAACTCGTAGCAGCAAAGTGCTGACAAACTGAAAGCCTGACACGCTCAACCCCTAAGCCGGCGTAGCCTCACACTTTCATCCTCAACGCTGGTCTTAGCCTCAAACCCTACATCCTCAACCCGAATCTTAGCCTGAAAGCCTAAGCCCTCAACCCCAACTCCAATACCCGAAGCCCTAGACCCCAAACCTTGACATTAGATCCAAGAGCTATGCATCGCAGCTTCCTTGCTGCAGTTGTAGCTGTCCTCTGTCGGGCGGCCGCAGAGAACCTGGAGGCCGCCCAGAGGTTTTTTGAAGTGTCAGGGGTCCAGGGGTTTAGGGGTTTATTTTGGGTTTAGGGGTTGTGGTGTAGGATGCGGTTTAGGAATAAGGGTTTTGGGGGGCTTTAGCAGCTTGAGGTTTGGGTGTTTGGGTGTTTCGGGGTTTTTGAAGTGAAGGGGTAGGGTTTCGTTTCGGGATTCAGGGCTGATGTTACCCACAGTTCTCTTGCTAGAGCATAGTTGAGCCACGGTTTACATACATGAGTGCATAAGCTCAACGAGCACTGGTCACGGTGGTGTTGGAAAGGTCTTTAAACTCTGAGCCGTAAACCCTGAACCCTAAATCATTCAGCCAAGGGATTCTACGTAACGTAATGCTTGGCCTGCGGGATTAGGAGATTCGTCCGAGGCGGCTGGCACGATAAGTAAGAGTCACTTTGATGCCTGCAGGTGCACCCTGAAAGCCCTAAGCTAAAGAGCAGTAAGATAACCCTTACAGATTTCTTCGCGGGGAATCCAGCATCCATTTCTAGGGATTGATGCCCATTTTGAAGCGCTAAACCTTAAACCCCTAACGCTTTGAATTCGCAACATACCACATTTTGGGAGTCGCTGATTTTGACCTGTGCACCCTCCTTGATCTCCAAGTTGGAGGCAGCCCCTGGTTCCGGGTAGCTCTTCAGGGTTTCGGGTTTAGGTTTTAGGGTTTAGGGTTATCATCCTGAATCTATGCGCCTTAGGCCTTCAACGTTTAAAGCCTCTTGCGCCTGAGCAACTCTTGCAAAACCCTGTGAATGTCCCGTACATGCGCGTGCATGTGAAACAAGCGTACATGCATGCGTACATACACATGCATGTTTGTGTACATGCATACATGCATTGCATGGGGCTGCAAGCCGGCGGAGGTACCTTATACTCCCACTCCAAACTTATCATCGCCCTGAGTACTCTAAACCCTGCATCCTTACAACCCTAAAGGCCCTTTAGAGATAGAACAATGGCGGAGCCTCTGCAAAGTTTCACAAACCGGCGAACCTCGAAAAGCCTTGAAAGCCCCAGCGCAGAGACTTAATTGATTAACAATATTATTTTGATCCAGATTTAGGTTACCTTTCCTAGAACATAATTCTGCAAGGAATCTAGGACCATGTTCTTCTGTAACTCTTCCGGGAAAGACCCCATAAAACCCCAGTTTCCATGTCATGTTCATGTCTTTTTTCAGTTGGTTCTCCACCATCCTAACCCCTTTATGTCTCTTGACGGGGCCCTAGAATTTCCATGTAATTTTCCCCTGTATTTTTCCATTGGGTTCCTGACTCTCCCTAAAACCTGAACCCTGACACCTAAACCCTGAACCCAAGTCCCAAATCCTAAAACCCCAAATCGAAACCCTAAATCCTGAACCCACACCCCAAATCCTAAATCCTGAGCCCAAACCCTACATCCTGAACCCAAACCCTAAGCCCTAAACCCTGAACCCATGCCCTAAACCCTAAACCCCAAACCCTAAAACCCCAAACCCTAGAATCCCAATATACTAGTAGTTTCCATTTTCTTCTCTATTACCCCTATAAAACCCCAATATATACCCTAAAATCCCTATATGAACCCCATATAATCCCCATAATTCCTGTAGTTTCCATATTCTTTTCCATTATCCTAAAATTGGGCTCCAGGATCCTTTGCCTCATCCGGAGGATGCCGCCGCCTGGGAGAAGCTGGGTGCACTCCAGAGGTGGATTTAGGGCTTGGGGATCAGGATTTAGGGTCTAGGGTTATAGCTTTAGGATTTGGGGTTTAGGATGTAGGATTTAGGATTTAGGGTTTAGGGTTTAGGGTATAGGGGTACTTTTATAGGGGGACATGGGGGCTCTATAGAGGTTATACAGGATTTAAGGTTGCCAAAATTAGGAGTACTTTCGGGGGGGGACCAATAGTAAGGATTTTGGCATGAAGCCGTGTCTCCATATTTGACCTAGGTCAGTCTGGGAAGCCCCGTGGTACCATTTTACCCTCTCTAGGGTTCTGGGTGCCTGCGTACAATTAATGAGTACGAAAAAGGGTACCCTTATTGTATATGGTTACTGGCGTGCCAAGTAGTTAATCCTCCAACTGTGTCCGCCCCACTGGAAGACCAGTTGCTAGAGCCACCGACAGCCGCGGCGACGGAACGCTTTCAGCGAATGAAGGGCACCGGTTTGGCTTCAAAATCGCCACCGGTAATGAAACAGAGCTGGCCACAATTGGCCTCCTCGCAGCAGTAAGGATGCCGTGAGTGCGATGTACACGAATCAAATCACAACGAATAACTGTCGACATTCGGTTGTTGACCGGATTATGCAGAAAGATCCAAGAATTGAATGCCGGCTCAAGGCATTGGCACCATCGTCGCTGGCTGCAGCAGCTTTAATCAAAGCTCTCAGTGCTTGCTTTCACGGTGCTGCTTACTGGAGGTGTCTGGCCAAGAATGCCAGGGTGACGTCAAGGGTGTCAGCAGTGTCCTTTGACCCTTAGACCTCCGAATCCGAAATCCCAAGCCCGACGTCCAAATAATCCTGAATCCTGGCCAACCACCAGACACAGTCCCATCCCGTCCTTCACAGCAGCCTCCCCTGGAAAGGATTAAGCGGCGAGCCGAAGCATTGCTCAAATCCCCAAAGTACTGTACGTTGCATATGCTTTGTTACCGAAGCCGCACGCTCATTCAGGAACTCTCATTTCTATGAGGACCAAAGGCCAAACAGGTCTCGCTGTTCTTCCTTTTGGCCACCCTTGAGTTGTGCCGCAGTGAACACGACCGGTCGCGTAGCAACTTCCACACAAAGTCCTAGACCGCAAGTCACAGGCCCTAAACCCCAAACCCTAAACCCCCACCATAAACCCTATGACCCTAAATCCCCAAACCCTAAACCTAACACAAAAAGCAGACTCTAAGATTCAAACCTCAAACCCTGACCAGGCAAAGAAGCCTTTGGGAGGAGGCGGAGAGTAGCTATCGCCATGCTCTGGAACTCCGGGGGCCAAGCGTGCAGGTTGGCAGCGCTGGAGTCTGTTCTGGGGCTTGGTGGGTTTAGGGGTTTGGGGGGGGGGGGTAGGGCT